CCCCGTACAAAACTCTCCCCTACCCCCCCCCCCCCTCCAAAGCCATTTTGGTACTACCCGATCTATCAGATATACTATGGCTCATTTCCTCCTATATAAACCATCGTACACTCCATATTCATTTTGCAAAAGCAGCATCCTTCTTTCTTCTCATTTTTCTTTCTATTAACACTTACTCATTATTCAAAATATGCAATGGGTCGTAATCTTAAAGAGATTAATGATGAAACCACTATAACAATTGCTGAATTCGAGGAGTCTTCTCCTTATTTTGAATACTCAAGAAGAATTGTTCTTTGAAATCAAAAGGATTTCTGAATTCACAAAATAGTCATTGACCATGCTTTTGAATGGTGAGAATGGGGAGTTTCCAGGAAAACCTGAGATGGAGGTTGCTGCTAAGATAGTAGCTGTTTTCAAGTGCTACTATGATAGTCTACAGCTTAAGCAAGCTCATGAAAACCAGCAAGATTTCTTAATTGAAGAAATTAATGCTATGCAGAATGATGAAAAGACTGATCTTTTGAATTTTTTTTCTGCTTGTAGTCTTGTTTGACCTACTCAAGCGATGAGGTTGTTATTTACATATATATAAGTTTTATCCAGTCGTTGTAGTAACAGTTATCTTGTGGTAGGGAAGAATTTTCGTAAGCGTGTCAATATTTGAAAAGTAATTACATGAATAAATTGTTATGGTGACAAGCAGTCTCATTTTTTATATATATTTTTGTTTATTATATTTATATATTTGGAGCAAGTAGGTTTGCCTTATTATCAAGATTATAAAAATTACTTTTATTGTGGAAAATTATCAATAAATATCTTTTGGATAAATATGTATATAAGTTAAACACGTTATTTACTAGTCTAACTCATTTGTATTTACTTTCTAAAACAAATCATTTCTCTTAGTACCCTTTACTTTTTTATTACTTCATTTCAAACTCTCGCTGTCTCTTAGATCAAATAATGAAGGGAAACCAAACTTAAGGATGGGAACGGGGATTGCATTCCGAGAAAAGACATTTTGGGCCCGTTTTACACATAAAGGTCGTTCTTTACTTGGGCTGCCATTACTGAACAGTTGCAGACTCAATGTTATGGGCCAGCCCACCATTTCTACTTGACACGAGTCAGCTTTGGATTAGAACTTTGTCATATTGGAATTGTCAATTGGGTAAATTAATTTGAGATTTTTACCTAGTTATACTATATTAGAAACTTATTTACCTATGTTTCATATGTTTTGTAGTTCTTAATAAATATCTAGGTTTTCTTACAAATTATGTAGATTTCTCCTTAAAAGGCTCCCACCTCATTATTATTGCCTTCAATTAAGGGATTCAATTACATCCTTTCCTCTCTTTTTTCCCCCCTTCTCTTCTCTCTCATTCTTTTTTTTTTTTAACATCAAAATCCCTTAATGGCCTAATCTATGCCCAGAATCTCCATCTTCTCTCTTCCCACCATTGCTGACAGCTTTATATTATTAAAAAAATCATCAATTGCATCGCTCTTTTGCTGAGAGACTGGACAACACTAAAAATGAAGAAATATTCAAGAATTGTATGATAACTATATCATAATTGTATTTGAATTGTATCTGATATATCAATGCTTAAAGCATAATTGTATCATATTTGTATCACAATTATATATATATATATATACGGTATATTAATACCCAAAATAATACATGATACAATACTAATAAATTAATATATAATTATCATATATTTGTGAAACAAACTGTGAAATTCGTCACGAACTCACAACTGCTCGACCGTAACAATATACAATGAATATCTAATTATCATACATTTGTAAATACAATTCCTTCAACAATTATGATACATATGCAATTATAGTACATTCGCGATACATTTCTGAAAAATTGTGACACAATTATGATCTTCTTCACGTTTCATTCACAACACTATACTAAAAACCTATTGTAGTATAATTATATTAGTATTGTATCAAGTGTTGTTTTGGGTATTGATGTATCATATACAAGTCACATACAATAAAAAATTTAGAAAGAAAGAAAACAAGATTCAAAACTTACCCACAACTTGATTCTAAAGTAATATTTCGAATTTCGTCTACATTATATCAATAAGAAAGAGAGATTTTTGGGTGATTAGTAAGAAAGAGAAAAATTGGGTTTGAAAAGCTTTGGAAAAGGAAAAGAACCGACAATTCTGAGGGATAACAGTGGTTATAAAAAATTAAGAGAGATTTTGCGTTATTGTTAAGAAATGGAGAAAATATTTTTGAAATCCTTAGAAAAAGGAATAGAATCTTAAATGAGGGCTTATTGGAAATAGGGGGTGGGTGGCATGTAACTGATGGTTAAATTTAAGGGATCTTGAATTTTTCTCTTTTTTATGGTTTTACATATAACTTGTAAATATAGATATACAAAGTAATTAATAAGGAACCTAAATAAAAGAGGTAAATAGATTTTTATTATAGTATAGCTAGGTAAAAATCCCAATTAATTTCCTTATGATTATTCGGTCTCTTTTTTCTATCTAAGTTGTATCATGATTCCATTAGAAAAGTTCGAGTTCTTCTAATCTGTAATTGACCATTACATGTGGACTTAGATTATTTCATTGTGTCAACCACGCGGGTTTACAAAATTTATACGTAATGATACATTATGACGATTTGACTTGTAAATAGTTTGAGTTAGAGCTATACTTAATTTTAATTAATTTTTATTTTTAAAGTGGTGTCAACCTCTTTTATATATAGAGATTCTTTTCAAGAAAAAAAGGCATTCACACACACATATATACGACCTTCTTTTTGTATGCGAAATGGTGTCGGATGACACCCTCCTCTAATTAAAAAGGTGTATTTATCGTGATAATGTGAAAATATTTTGCTAATAGATGACAATGAGACTCGGCCTCAAAACGTAATCAATAGTAGTACTACTATATTACATCTTATGAGACATGTCATCTAAAAATTTAAACTTTTAGGAGAAAAATGCTAGAAGTAGAAAAATTAGTCCCAATTCGGAGATGGATTATAATCATGTTGGATTAAAACTTACGATGGAAACAAATTGCATTTCGATAAAACAGGCTATTTGACTAAGAAATTTATGTTTTATTAGACCGAAACAACCGCCTAATGCCTTGTTAGTCTAATTCGAAAAGAATTTTAATGCATTGCTTTCCCAATTCAACACTCACTTTTCTCTTGATATATACAAGTGCATATCTGAACGAGTGATATTTGCTTTGTTTAATTATCAAAAGGTCTAAATACTGTTAATTAACAAGCATTTTAATCATAATTTTTCTAATGTAATTGTTTGTTGTGGCTCAAGCCCACACAATTTTTCCCAAAAGGTCTCAAAACATTAAGGACCCTTGCAACTTATGTCAAAATAGCACGGGCTAGTCAGTTTTCAGACTGGTAATTGAAAAATAGCTAGCGTTTGTAAAGTCATTGAAAAATAATCATTATTTTGCTGCAACACGGAAAGTTCCAGCATAATATACTGGAGATTGGTGTACCTATGTATGAACTTCCAGCATATTGTGCTGGAACTCCAACACATGGAAAGTTCCAACATAATATACTGGAGAATGTAACACCTGTATATGAACTTACAGCATATAATGCTGGACCAGCATATTATGCTGGAACTCCAGTATATTATGCTGGAAGTTCACATGTAAAAAATTCGAACTCTAGTATATTTTGCAGGAACATTTTCCGAATTTTGAACAGTGTTTTCATTCAGACTTATCTTTACATAAAAAGCGGCTAAATTTCGATTACTTTTGAAACTGTAGCTATTTTCAATTACCACTTGTAAATCTGGCTATTTTTGAATTTTGCCCCCCCCCCCCTCTCACACCCCCACCCCCATTTGGTATTATCCGGTTAATGAGATAAAGTATGGCCCATTCCCCACTATATAAACTACTTATTCTCTTCCCTTTTCTTTCCAGTAACAGATACTACAGTTTATTCAAAATTCCAATGGCCTGTAGTGTTAAAGTAATTAACGATGAAATTACAACAACAATTGCTGCAATTGAAGAGTCTCCTCCTCATTTGGATACTCTGAAACAAGTGTATCTTGAAATCAAAAGGATTGTTGAATCCACAAATGACTCACTAACCAAGCTTCTTAAGGGTGATTATGGAGAGTTTCCTGAAAATTCTGAAATGGAGGCTGCTGCTAAAATAGCAGCTCATTTCAAGAGCTTCTATGACCGTATTCAGCTCAAACAAGTTCGTGAAAACCAACCAAAATTTTTGGTGGAAGAAATTCAAGCCATGCAGACTGAGGAAAAGACTGATTTCTTGAAATTTTTCTTGCAAAAAAGGTTCACTGAAATATCAGATCATCTAAGGGAGTTACCTGGTCTATTGTGGAGTTATATTTCAAAGCTGGTTTTTAATGTATTGGAGAAGCACTGTGCAACTTGCCCTCAAATTCTGAGCCCTAAAGAAGCCGTGAGACATTTGGTTGAATCAAAGAAGGATGCAGTGGCTGTTTTGCCACTGAAATATTTGGAGATGGAAAGATTGATTTTCAACACCTTCAATCCAAAATATGAGCTATTGGTTTCCCAATCATCTACCATGGAGAAGGAGCTGATGGAGGAGCTCTCGAAAGGTGCCCAAACGATGATGCTTAAAAATATAAGCCTGGAGTTGGTCAACATTGATCATTTGTCAAATTATAATAGTGATATTGTTCAGAAAGCCTTCCAAGTTTACATAAAAGTTGGTATTTATTGGGATATTGTTTCATTGAGATTGGTTGAATTTATGATGATCTATATGACATCAACTATCCAGGAGTTGGTTGATAAGATTGAAGGGGATCTATTTATGCATATATGCAAAGGTCTAATGGGCCGATAAGCATTTCATTCTGCATGTTCTATCTCCAAAACGAATGATGCTTGAAGAGCGTCTAGAAGACCTTAAGAAGCAGTTGGCGGCCATCATGCAAGTTTAATTTGTTTTTGAACGTGATCGAGTATTAAGTGATGGTGTTTGTTTTTATTTTGTGGTTTATGTTCTTTATTATGTAATTTTAGTTTGTTTTTTTTTTTTTAAAAAAAAATTTTCGGATTTGATGTAATTATGCTACTGCCAAAAGTCCGTTGGGATGCAGTAGCTCGGTTGTTGATCTTTTCATGTTTAGGTGTGTCATCATCACTTGGTTTTTAAATATTTTGTGAGCTTAGATAATCTCTTAGTTTTAATATATTTTATTTTATGAGTTTCACTGTCTATTGCTTCCGAGAAAATAGCCTATAATGCTCTGCTAGACCGAACTAACGGCTTAAGCATTGTTTTTTTGGTACGCATCAAGCCCGTCCTTGAATTGGGCTACCATATTTAGTTTTAAAGTTTTACTTAGTTTTAAGGGATTTTTACCTTCGTATATCATATATGAAACCTTATTACCTTCAATGTTTAAGGATTGTGTTAATTACATTTCAACATACCAAATTACCATTTATATACCATAATTCAAATTGAGGGTATAATTAATGCTTCATTTATATTAGGCGTTAATTTAGGAGCGTATATTCTCCCATTTTCGTTTACCCGCCTCTCTCTCCTCCCACCCCCCACACCCCCACGTTTTACCTTCAGTTAATTTAGGAGTTGTGTGTAGATGATGATTTTGTTGAAGATTCCCCTAAAATTCCATCTGTGAAAAAACCCAAGGTCTCTCCTTCTTCATCAAAATCAAAAAAGAAGAAACCCTCCAAAAAAGTACCAAAATTGGTTCAAAAAAAGATTTTGGTAAAGGTAAACACTAATTATTTTTCTTTACAGTTTTTTAGTGTGATTTTGGTTGTAAAAATCTGTTGTTCAAGTGTTTTTTGGTAAAATGTGGAATTGTCCAAATTTTGTAGATTGTTTGTCTCAATTTTGAAGGTTAATTGTAATTGTGATTTTTAGACAGTGCATAAATGTAGTTATTTTGTAGTTGTTTTGTAGGCTGCTGGGTAAATTGTAGATAAGGTATATTTTTCACCTTTTGTATGCTGCTACATTTACCTTCATACTAACTACAATTAATCTATATTTTGTGAGTTACTTGAACTAACTGTTATATTTTTGTAGTTATAGAGTTGTGGTTACCCTTTTCTTCCTTATTGTTTTGAGATAATGTTTACATGTGTAGATGTCCTGTATTGTTTTGTAGTTATAGGTGTGGGTAGGCTGTTCTTCTTTTAGTTATATTTTGTAGTTATCATGTAGTTATACGTAGATTACTGCTTCTTTTTTATGCAAACTACTAATGTTCAATAATTTTTTATTTTCTGCAGAATGGCCATTACTTTGCACCACAAAATGTTGATTATGGTGTGAAAGAGATGAAGAACAGATATAGGTTCGACAATTTGAGTACTGAGGTCGATGAAGAACAATTTTGAATTCTACAATTTGTATTGCGTTGTAGAATTTGTAAAAGCAAATTGAGTACTGGAGCTCCTGAAGCTTGCGTTGTTTTAGAATTGTAGTGAATGAGAGAATTACGCAGCAATGAGATCTCTTTACGTTTCAAAATTCGAATTTAATGTGGAAAGAATCAAACGCAGATTTCGTGCCTTCTTTTTAGCGCGTTTTAAATGGCAGAATCTGCCTAATTATGGATTGGTATATAAATTGTAGTAAAAGTGTGGACTAGGCGGGTAATTAACAAATTATGAACATTTTTGGTAATAAAGTTTCATATATGGTATAGATAGGAAAAAATCCCTAGTTTTAAACTGAGTTAGGGCTATACTTAGTTTTAAAGTTTTACTTTCAATGTCAAAATAATATTTATTTTAAATGTGGTGTCAACTTCTTTATTATATACAGATTTTTTTTCAACAAAAAAGGTATTCACACACACTTATATAAGAACTTCTTTTTGTATGCTAAAAGATGACACCATCTTCTTCTTTAAAAGGGGTATCTAATACGACACTATAAAAATATATTATTAATAGATGACAATGAGATTCAAACTTAAAACGTAGTCAATAGTATTACTACTATGTTACATCGTACGAGACATGTCATCTAAGAGTTTAAATTTTTAAGTCGGGCAATAAATTCATGTAGACAAACTCTAGTCAAAGGAGAAAAATGCTAGAAGTAGAACAAATTAGTCCCAATCCGGAGATGGATTATAATTAAGCTAAGACGTATTGTGCAAAATGAGATAAATTGAGGGACCATATAAATTGAATTTGTTCGTGGGGAAAAATAGGCTAGGCTTATTTCACTTGACTATGGCATATAAACAACTTGTTAATTGGTCCTGCTTATCATTTTTTAAAGGTTCACTCCATTTATATTCAAACCCTAAATTTCTTCCTTAAGTTATTGGAAAAGATCACTTTTAGCCTGCGTGATGTTATTTATATTAATATCCATTAGCTGAAAAGTGTATAAAATTTATATATTTTTTGTATATATAATTATAAATATGTCACCATAAAATTATATTTTTATATGTTTTAAATTCGCTTTTCTTATGAATCGATGCCTAAATATCATTTTCATAAGATTACTTTTATGCCATATTGCATCTTATTTCCTAACGAATATTTTTAGCATTGTTAAACTTTGCAGGAAATATAGCGCAACGTGGAACTATATCTTAGCAGTGAGCTGGGGCAATCTGTTGGAGAGGAATACCAAACTCTCCAACAAAGGTTAAGGATCTACTTTTGACTCCGCTCGGCTCGACTCTCAAAATTCATAATCTAATTCTTATTGCAAGCATCTTTCTTTCAATCATGGTACCCAGTGTCTCTATTATTCGACACTGGGGCAGAATTTTAGAATCTGCATCAATAGTTGAGTCCTACTCCAGGGTACCATAAGTCTTGAACTACATATGGCCTGATTCTCCTGAAACCCGAGATATGTAGGCAACTCGAAACCGGAGTTCGGCCGCAATCATTTTTGATATCCCCTTTGTCCCATTTCAACCTTGATGGTCGGGACAAAATTGGCTACTAAGTCAATATATTTGCCCGAAAACTCTTTCATCATCTCCGGTCAAAGAGGGGCAGCTGTTGACATCCAATTTTGTGCCTCCTTTCTTCCAAACTATTTCTTTAAGCTTCTAATATTACTGATAATATAAGAATAATTATTTTAGCGTTGTTATCCCAAAATAGACCTAATTCGTATTATTATTATTTTATTGTTACTATTATTATTATTATTATTATTATTATTATTATTATTATTATTATTATTATTATTATAGTTATAACTTTTATTGTCTTTTGCGAAAAGCATATCATTTCTTTTATTCAACCAAATAGTAATGTTTTCCCAGTCCTACCGTTTCTATATATTTGCTCTAATGGCATTATAAATTTTACTTTAACAATTTGTTACGATCCGGATTTTCCTCCCTCGGGAGTCATGACGGCGCCTACTATTGGGAGCTAGGCAAGCCAAAACTTGACTACTTACTTCGTTAACAAATTTCTTCTTTTTAACAAATATAAGCGATAACATGAAATCAGCGGAACTTTAAATAATTAAGCGGAAGATAATAATAAAATATCTGGAATCAACGTCTATTACAACTTCTAAAATCTGAAATACCCAAAATCTGGTGTCACAGTGTCACAGACTGTCTAAGAGTCACTACATACAAGGTCTGAAGAAAATACAATAAACTGTTTCTGAACAAAGAAAATGAAACAGGGAATAGAGATAGAGGGAGACGCCAGGGCCTGCGGACGCCTGCAGGTCTACCTTGGGTCTCCGGATGGACTGAAGGAAGCCCTCCAACTACTGTCCGAAAGCTGCTCCGGGATCTGCACACAGTGCAGAGTGTAGTATCAGCACAACCGACCCCATGTGCTGGTAAGTGTCTAGCCTAACCTCGACGAAATAGTGACGAGGCTAGGACCAGACTACCAATTAAACTTGTGCAGTTTAAATATATATACAACGGAATAAGAAATACAGAAATAACCAGTCAATGTGGGAAGGGGAAACACGCTGTGGGGGAGATAACAATTCTGAATAGAAAGGCATCAACTAAAGAAAGGAACAACATAACACGAATATCAACAAGGATCAGAAATCAACAGTTTGCACGGCATCACCCTTCGTGCTTTTACTCTCGTCCTCACCAAAACAATTATTGATCAAAGATGTGCAAGGCATCATCCTTCGTGCTTTTACTCTCTCTCCTCACCATGTAATCAATATAATCAGCACGGAATGGTACATCGTGCGGCACGGCATCACCCTTCGTGCTTTACACTCTTTCCTCACAATATCAACAATGCACGGCATCACCCTTCGTGCTTTAACACTCTTCCTCACCCAAACAACAATCGCAAACAAGGGCAAGGTAATAAACAAGAACATATAGAAATCCCGACAAGGGAACAATAATTACATGATTAAATCCCGGCAAGGGAACATTTCAATAACTCTTTCTCTATCTTTCACTTATACTTCATAACTCGCTTTACAACTTGAGCCAATACTCCAAAGGGTTCAATCATCTCATATACTTTCACAATTCATAATATAACTCGAGCCAATGCTCCAAGATGTTCAAAGGTCTCAATTCCTTTCACAAACTTTCCATAACAACTAGAAATCATCACCAAAGCATGAAGAATACAACGAAATCAAGATATTCACAATATAAAGACTCGCGGTCATGCTAGACACCAACGTATAGATACTAGTCACCATGCATATACGTCGTACACAACTAATACCACATAGCAAATAGTTTTCAACTCCTAATCCCTCAAGCAAAGGTTAGACCAAACACTTACCTCGAACTTCCACGGCTAACTCAAGCCTCAAACACCGCTTTTCCTTTCAAATTCGGCTCCAACCCAATCGAATCTATACACAGT